GGTTTAGTTGGAGCAACTTTTCCTCTGACATTGGGTCCAGTGAGGATTAAGACAACAGTAGAATCTCTTTTCGTTTCCGTTTCTGCTGTTAGAGGAAATTTTAAAAAAGACTAGGCTGTTTGTGGTGCTCTAACAGTCAGGCTTAGAGGAGCTCTAATAGTCAGGCTTTAAAAGAGCTCTAATAGTCAGGCTTAAAGGAGCTCTAATAGTCAGGCTTAGAGGAGCTCTAATAGTCAGGCTTAAAGGAGCTCTCACTGTCAGGCTTAGAGAAGTCAGGAGCCAGCAGGGAGACGGGACTCAGATCAGAACCACAGCCAGGACTGATTCCAGCTCTCTCTGATTTAGCTTTAATCCTCGTATTTCTACCAGGCTTTGTTAGATTTATTCATCTAGTTTTTTTATTAAAATCCCTTAATTAATCAATTCCTGGTATGGTTACTAACAAATAGTTTTATAATAACTGTGTTTTACTATCACTATGAGGACCAGAGTTTGGTAGAGCAACATTATTTTAACATGTTTCACTCATATAAATTAGTCATTTAATGAAATGACTAAAAGTTTTCAGTAAAACGGAGACTCTGAGTAATTAGTGGATCATCTGGCTTAATGTTTAGTAAGAATGCAGTCACACAGAGAATTATGTTCTGAATTATGTTCGGATACTGTTTACTGTATTTTTTTTATGTTTCTGATCTCTGACAAGCTAAACTCACTCAACTTACCCCTCACCTCTGATGGCCTCTGTCCTTCGAGGGCTCCTGGCTCCAAATCCAAGTCTGATTTACCGCTATAGACTTAAGGGCTGGTTATCCTCATGCAGACGCCTGGTTTCTGAGCATAAACCAGGCTTTAGGGAGAATGTTAGACAGTTTGTCTTGCAGCCATCTGGTTCTGAATGTGGCCTCAGGTCTACCTAACTTGAGGTATTGGTTTGAGGAATGATGCAGGCTCGAGACTCCCTAGTCTCAGTATTTTCACATGCTCTCACTCCGTATCCCCAATTTTTCATGCTAAAAAATGACAGACATTAAAACTCAACTCCATTCCACTTATTTATATATAAAAACACCATGCTGATAAAATCCCA